AAAATGTTATCCCGCGACTTTCAACTTCCTCCCTCAACGTCCAATTTGCGTTTTCAAATAAAAGATTGGTTATACAAATTTCTACAAGTTTTAGGCGATGGTTTAAAAAGTCGCCAGCTTTCCACAGTGGAAAAACTTGATCGGTTTCTATTATAGCTGACAACATCCCAAATCTGAGATCCGTTAAATGAGCGTATATTGCGAATAGTTGACGGAACTACACCATCTGATGTCGGCACACCTCGAAAACGGAGTCTTGGGGATTGAGAATTTTCAAACCGCAGTCGTCCCTAAAGATTTTTGTGGCTTTTATCAAGGCTTCGGAGTCTAGTAATAAATCACCATGTGCCTTCATCAAGATGCTGGTGCACTTTTCGCATTTAAGCTGGTCAATCGCATAAGCAGTCAAATACCGCTGCACTTGAACGTCCGCATTATTCTCGTCTGGAATTTCTACTTCTTCAATGACGGGTCGCTCATTTAACGTTTCTCGTTCTTCAAAATAACGATCTTTGGGGTTTAAATTATTTTCTAAATTTACATCGTCTTCATCACAATCTACCCCTTTATTAACCAATTTTTCATGCAAAATACTAATTGAAATTGATGTAGCAGATGTATATAAGATTTCGTGAGCTCTAACATTGGTACTTGTCTCTCGGCTAGCTCATTCACTAATAAAAAAGTTTTCTAAGTCGTCTTGACAAAACTTACTTAAAAAACTTGAAAAATTTGCTGTACACTTTGGTGCTGGGCAAAGAGCTCTTTCGAAAGCATTTGCATGGACTTTATTGTTATACCTAAGCGTTCACTGCATTTCATTCGGGTGCCATTGAGCGTCATTGACCGCAAAAATTCCAAATGTGTATATAGCCTTGAGATTTTCCCCCTGTCTCCCCGTTTTAGTGGACACTTCAATGGATTTATCGAATTTAAATTTTCGCAGTTTAGCTCACCATAAAGGTCATTCATCTTTTTGACAAACATCTGCGTAGGCTTGGCGAATTCTTGTACGTTGTCATCGATGCCTAGTTAATTTATTTTTTAGTATTTTTGCGTAGAATTCCTTTCTGCGTAGGCGGCCTTCGGCCGCGCTTTAGAATTATAATCCTTACCAAATAGAATTCTCCTTTTTGTGTGCACCAACTGGGGCTACCGCCCCAGTGATGTAGCCTTGGGAAAAGATGAGGTAATTAGAATTCCCTTTCTGTGTGGTAAACCTGGGGCTGCCGCCACAGTGATGTCTTTGTGCAGAGCTCTTTGTTTAACATATTTTAAAATTACATTATACTCATTTATTCCCTACTGCTATCGAGAATATTATCAAACAGTGGTAGATCGTTGAAAATCCCACCGTTTCAATTTGTTGAATTTTCGACCATGTGGTATCACCCTTTATATTCACCATCTCAGCCATTTTGATTTGTTTGCTTGTTTATTTTGTCGAAGAAGAGTAGTGATTTTATTAAACGTGTTTTATATTGTTAAAAAATAAAAGAAAATACATTTAATGTACACAAAATACACGTGAACATTGCAAAGATCATATATTTATAAAAATATAAGTGTTAAGTGCTCTTTTTAATATGAAACTTTGCTAGTGAAACTGCAAAGAATTTACCAACGAATTAGTTAAATACTATACTAATAAAGCGAAGAGTGATAAATAATAAAAATATATACGATTCTTAACACCCCCGCCAAGTTTAATGGCGAAATTCGTGATAATTTTGTGAAAATATCCAAAAACCCCTTGATTATTCCAGCAGCGATATTTTCATAAACATTATAACATACTCGCCCAATTTAAGTGTTGGGATAGCACGTGGTCTTAGAAACATCCGACCAAGTCGAAATGATCCGCACACACAAAGGAGTTGTGCGGCGGATTATCCTTTATGCGGAGATTCTTTCTCCATATGGCCACCTCACCTGCGTCCTTGGGGAACGAAAAAAACCGCCTCTCGCTATTTTCGTTAATGCAATTTTGCTCACGGCACTTTCGCTCACGGCTCATCAAA